CAGCCCTGCACGGGGCCCGCCCTCAGCCCTGCACGGGGCCCGCCCTCCGCCCTGCACGGGGCCCGCCCTCAGCCCTGCACGGGGCCCGCCCTCAGCCCTGCACGGGGCCCGCCCTCAGCCCTGCACGGGGCCCGCCCTCAGCCCCTCACGGCCCCCGTCCCGCGCACGCGCCCCGCGCGGCCCCGCCCAGCCGGCCACCCTCGAGCCCATTGGCTGAGGCGCACGGAGCGGCGCGCGGTGATTGGCCGGAGGGCGCGCGCCGCGGCCTGTGGGCCCCTTTCAAATCCCGGAGCCCGGGAGGGTTGGAGCGGAGAGCGCGATGGCGACGGGTCGGGATCGCTCCGGGAGCGCGACGGCGACGGGTCGGGATCGCTCCGGGAGCGCGACGGCGACGGGTCGGGATCACTCTGAGAGCGCGGTGGCGACGGGTTGGGATCGCTCCGAGAGCGCGACGGGTCGGGATCGCTCCGAGAGCGCGACGGGTCGGGATCGCTCCGGGAGCGCGACGGCGACGGGTCGGGATCACTCTGAGAGCGCGGTGGCGACGGGTCGGGATCGCTCCGGGAGCGCAGGTACGGGGGAGGAACGGGGCCTGGGTGGGGAACAGGGTCCTTCAGTCTTTCCCGGGGGAGCGGGGATCGAGCCCTGGTGTGTCCCTCACTGACGGAGGGACCGCCCGTAGCGCGGCGCCTCAGGACCCCTGGAGCCCTCGCAGGTGTCTCCTGAGGGAAAAGATCCGATTTCGTGTCCAGCCCTGGCTGTGGTTAGACAAATACAGCAGTGAACGTGTGTAATGTGCGCGCTGACTAAAGCGGTGCCGGTCCTTGGTGTCCTCTGGTTCCGTGGTACAGCACGGCAAGGGACACGTACAGGGCTCGTCGGGGCTGAAGTGCTGCTCTGGAGTGCTGCGTCTGTTTTGTGGTGTATGACTTTCTCCATGAGTTTTTGGCTTTACCTGGTGCCTCTCTGCTGCCATCGCCTGGTTTCGTGTTAAATGATGCTTTTATTTGCAGAAAGTCGAAGCGAGTAGATAAGCATTTCCTGGGCTTGAGACTAATAATCGAATAAAGGGCTTGTAGCCATCACGATTCTGTCGGCTGTTTCCCTTAAAATTATTTAATTTCTAAAAAAAACCCCCCAACCCCAACACTTTATTTTTTTAGAGAAGTTTAAGTGACTTAGTTATTTGAAGGAAAAGGCATTCACTAATATTTAAATAGTATCTTCTAAATTGGGAAATGATGATTTAAAAAGTGAATGAAGTTTTTTAACGCTTCAGGCTGGCTTTTTAACCAAATAGCATTAAGATCCTTTAGCCATTTGGGTTTTTTCATTGTGGAAGTTAATGTGTTGCTGTCACCAACAAAATGCCTTGCAATGTTGTGTGTGTAAATAAGCTTGTAATTTTATTAGCAGTGTGATAAACAAACCCTTTCCCCCACCATGTGACCATATATTTTCTTTGTGTTTATGGGGAGCATGAGAACTGAGACTCCAGTTGTTTGGTTTTTTTTTTTTATTTTTTTTTTAACTGCATTTAACTTAAATGCCTTACCAGCCTCAATTGACACAGAGTCAATTAACCTTGTTTAGTTTGGTTAAATTTCCCTCCCTGGGTGCATTTGTACAACCTCTTCCTTCGCCAATCTTTTCTGCAGGTGACTCAAAGCTGAGCAGTGAGAAGAGTGCACCCAGCCCTGTAACTAAAAGGAGATTCACATCCCTTGTGAGATTCACATCAAAAGTAAGACTCTTTTGTGGTGTCTGTAGCACTGTTAAATCCCAGCTAAACCTCTGACTGGTTAAACCATGTAGCCTCTTCATGCAGTTACTGTTAACCTGCCCGAGAGAACCATGGGACACGTTGTTGTGCCTGTATTCTGTAGTAACTAAGCAGGAGAAATGAAATTGCAGCATCTTTGGGAATCATGTGATGGTTACTTGGGATTACAGAGCGGTTTATCTTTGGTGTTACAATGTTTGGATTTCTTTTCTTTTGCTCACCGTGTAATTGTGGTGTGGCCGCTCCTTTTTAAGAAGACTGTTTCTGTTCCTGCTTTCATGGGGTGGACAGGGCAGAGTAGAAACCTGGTGGTGAAAGAAACAAGGAGGGGATGGTACTGCATGAACAGGTTCTCAGTGCCATGAGCAAGGATATGGATTTGAAGATGCGTGGCTGAACAAGTTGAAAAAATGATAACCCTGACTTACTAATTTTACTTACTAAGTGCACTACTGTTGATGATTCAGGATGAAATTCTGCAAACAAACTTGAGGTTAGAAGATTAAAGTCGTTTTTTTATGAAGTTTAGGGAGTGCTGATGTCTCCAACTTCTTTAATCTTCCTGTTGCAATTGTTGTGAGCTGTTCCTTCAGAGTAATGCTTATGAGAAAGTACAGTGGTAAACCCCATCCTAACCTGACACTTGTCTGTGCTGTCTAGGGGAGAGAAAGGTTTGCTTTTTATTTTGTGTGTATCTTTATAGTCTTATATTTAACTGTGTTGTTCAGCTGGTGGGCAGCTAGAGGTCAATTTAACTATTTCTAACACAAGCAGTTTCCAAAGCCAGGTAATGGGACTGTGAAGACTAAAAAAGATCTTATGCTTATGAGGGAGAAAAAGAAACAGAAGGCACTGGAGAGGGAGGCACGGATGTGTTATGGAGTGCATTCCTGTCATATCTGCCACTAACCAAAATAAAAAATACAAGCTGGTAGAATTGGCCTCTTTTGCATAAGAGAGTATATGAGTAGTTTGCAAACAGGTCTGTGCAGAGCAGAGATTATCAGATATTATGGGTACAAAGCATTGCTAAGAACAGCTGTGCTGTCGCTCTTCTCCGAAAGAGAACTAAGTCCTGTGTTCAGTACCCCAAAAAGGTTCTATTTAACAACTGTTAGCTGAGATTTTTGCTTACTAATTGTCATAATTTTAATGTTTAAGAGGCAACTTACACTGTATCAGTACACTTCTTTGTACTAATTGATGCCTTGTGCCTCAGATGTCACATTGTCTTCTTGTCTGTCACAGCTGCTGCCTAAAGATTTTTAGGTTTTTGTAGATTTCAATGTTGCTGGGTAGTTTTCTCTCACTTTAGACAGTTACTTTCTCCCAGTCTGTATCTCATTCCTGAAGCTTGGCTTTAACTGTCTTTTCAAGGTAATAGATTTTAGCAAGGACATTCCGTTGGGATGTGCACCTGGAGCAGAACCCTGAGGGACATGGGAGACAAGAAGATATAAGGCTCTCGCAGGGGCTCCAGGGGGGCAGTTCTGAGGGTGGTGGTACCAGAGTGAAAGGGGTTTTTGGTTGGTTGTCCCCACTAGATATGACAACTAGTTAAAGATATAAAAGTGTAGGAATTCTGTGTGCCAGTGTGTGCCTACATATTGTGTGCCCCTGAAGGCCTTCATTTGGGAGCTGCTCTCTGTCTTATCTGTATTAATATTGTTTGGAGAACTTTTCTTCCATTTTAGGCATCACAGCCAAAGAGGAGAGTTGGCTTCTGTTGCAAATCAAAGCTAAGACTACTGTAACTTTAGGATGTTGTACTGGGACTGTAAATGTGTGGTGTGTAGTAACAGCATCACTACAATTCTGTATTTAATCTCTTTCCTGTGCATGACAGAGTTGAAGATAGATATGCAAGTTAATACTGTTTGGATACTTCTGCCTGTGGTTTTCTTGGAGAGACTAAACGAATGATGTTGTTAAGAGAAATGATAGTAGGAAATAAAGAAAATAACTCTTTTGTTTTAGATTTGGGCATTAGTGAGAGAGCGTGGAGAGCAGGAGAAAAAACTTCAGGCTCTGGATGAGGATTTTGTGAAGACTGAAGCAAAGGTGAGTGCTGCAGTTCAGGAGAAAACATCTCTTTCAGCAACTGTTGCATGCCTAAAAAAACAGCTTCTGGAACTAAAAAGAAGCAATGACCTACTGAAGTCAAAGGTATTCAGACAAATAACTGCACACTTGCTTTGCCTTTGCTGTTCTCGAGCCCCCTGTGCAGGAGGAGGCTTTAGCTGCTAATCAGCATCTGTTTTGACATTCCCTGTGCCCCCTTCATTGGCACAGGGATGGAGCATGTCTGGTTTGGGATCTCACCCACTTCTCTCTAAACACAGAGTGGGAGGGGAACACCTGGAAAGGATTTTGTGAAGAGCAATTCACGTGGAGGAGCTATGCTTAGTAATTTTCTATTCTTCTCTAACAAGCTGTCTGAAGATGGTGTGCAAAAGGAAAAGAGCAGGAAGTTAATGAAGTTAATGAAGCTCAGAAACGTGAGGCATGCTAAGGAAAAGGTAGGACCATTTGTGCTGCACAGGACAGCAATTCTGAGCTGTTCAGGAACAAAGAATGAAGGGCTTAGCACAGAACTTCAGATCGTGTTCTTTCTGTCCTCAACTTGGTAACTTCCTCTACTTTCTGTGGAGTGAAAATAGGGAAAGATCAACTGATGAATGTTCTTGATTTTGCTGATCTGCAGAGTAAATCTGAGTTCAAGTAAAGAAGCATAGAAATACCTCTGGTATTATTATTTATGATATTATTAATACCAGTCTGGTCACACTAGGAATCTCTTTGAGAACCAGTGATTGTAAGTTTATTTTGAAGCTCTCATATGTTTGTATTTTTCTGGTGATAGTGGTTGTTCTAATAAATGGTGGGTATCTTTACAGAGGGATACTTGGAATCACATTTAGCATAATATCAGGTGCTATCATTAAACTGTAGTGAGGAATTGGTTTCAGTTTACCACTGTCTCTTACCCAATGGATTTGGTGTTTTTTACTCAATCTCACTTCAATGTTAATATGTGTCTTTTTTTTAAGACTGCCTGCAGCTTCATTTCCACGTTTTCCTGCTTTGCAAGTGAAGTGCAAAGGAATCTAGAACATTCAAAAGGAAAAGTAGCACAGTTAGAAGAAAAACTGTAAGTAGTAAGAAGGGAATTGACTTGGTTGACAAGATTTCATCTAACTGTGCTTCCAGCTTATCCCTTAGAGTCAGCAAAACAGGGGCTGTGTCCCTGCTGAGAAGGAACAGACATTATCAGTGTTGGTAACCTGGAAAAAATGGGGTGGAATGAACTTGTAAGAACTGCTGTGTTCTTCTAAAATGACCATACAAAACATTGTTCCTTCAGAGTATTTCCAAAAGACAGACTGTACCATCTCAACCCTTTGTCTTCCAGGGTGGTGTGGGTGGGATTTTCTTGGGTATGGGATGGGGAGGGAAGACATAAATCTTGAGAACTGTTGTTCATCTCAGAGCAAGCCATTCCTGTAGATTGGATGCTTCTGGCTCCTTAGACTACTAAGTTAGGAATAAGCAAGAATGAAAAAGCTTTAGAGCAGGAGCTGAAATCCTAATTCAGCAGCCAGGCATTTCACACAGATTCCCTGGACACGTGGGTGTTCTCCAGAGAGTGGCACTGAAGAGCCACTGTGGTGCCTTCCCAGTTGCTTTGTCCTGGACGTTCTCTGAACAAAGGCAGCTGCAGAGTGGCTTGGCTTCAGCAGCTCTGTGTAGGTAGAGACTGAGATCTAAATCAACACTTCCTGTTCTGCCCAAATAATGCCACTTGCAGCACAGGAACAGTGCACTGTTTTTGCTGAGGATGGTGACCTCTGAAGGATGAACTTCTGTTTTAGGTCAGTTTTGCCTGATTGGCACTGCAGCACAACTGGAATGTTAAAATACACAAAGCTGATAATGCAGGTAGTGCAGTCACAAAGAGAGGACGTGATAATTTGCTACAACAGCTGCATTATGTTTATGCATTATGATGTTTGTGGCAGAATATGGCTCAGCATCTTTACTGCAAATGAGGAGACCATATGGAACAAGTATTAAAAGAGGGTAGAATCCCCATGTAGAGCCAATAGCAGTTTGTCAGCTAAACTGGATTATGAAAGGTGTGTGTTACTGTGTAGCTCTGGATTTGCTTAAATATATCCATCCTAAAAACTTCCTGGTTTTAGGTCTGCTGCCGAGAGAGAGAAAGTTGTAGAAAAGTCTGACCCTGAAAACCTCCTAGAATCCATCACAGAGCTCAGGTAACAACAAATTGTTCTCAAGTTGGCTGGGGTAAGTTAAAAGGTGGTAAAACTAAGCCTGGCTTATGACTGGTGAAGTAGAACTTTGGCAATAATCGTAGGGGAGGGAAAAGAAATCAGGTATTTTTCCACACAATGGAAAGTAATTGTAAGATATTATTTTAATTATCTTTCTAAATGCCTCTGTGCTTTTTCTGGGCTGAGCAATACTGTGGAAGAGTTTTATGTCCATGGAAACCAGTCTTACAGTTCAAAAAGTTGTTTGGAAAAGTAGGTGAAAGCAGTTTTTTCTATTGGAAACCAACACTCCTAAGCATTTTTCCTTTGGGTTGAAGTGTAAACTTACAAATAAAATTTAGTAGTAACAAGTGCCTGAATTTTCTCCTGCAGTAGTGTTACAGAAACTGCTGAGAAATACAAAGCCAATGTTGCTCAGCTGGAGGAGACACTGATTAAGAAAGACCAAGATATTGAGATCCTGAGGGATTCCCTCAAAACAAAAGAGGAATCATGTAAACTGATGAAAGAACTTAATGAAAAGTGTCAATTGCTTCAAGAAGAAAAAGGTAATTTTTAGTACTTGTATGCTCTTCCCTCTGTAGGATGATTGACATCTCTTAAATCATCTCCAATAGGTTTGTTCTAAAATGTCACTTTAGCCTGGTTTGTTCCAAGTTAAAAGTTGAGTCTCTGAGCTCCAGCTGAAAACAGCTGGACATGGTTTTAACAATGGGGAAATGACTTCACGTCTGACCCCTGTTAAGTCTGATTGGGTGTTTCCATGGAGGTTTACTCAAGCAGAGAGTATAGAATGAAAATAGTTTGCAGAGTAGGAGTGGCTTTAATCTGAAAGGCGACCACTAAGAAGTTCTTGTTCCTTTCTCTTCACTGAGAAGCAGGATAATATTGTCTGAATTCACTGTTAGCAGCTTGTGCACGGGTTCATTGAGGTGTTGGCAATGTGTCAAGGACCCTTCACCTCCTTACCCCTTCTCTCCCAACACCCCCAACTCTGCAGTGTGAGGCAGGTGCTCAGTTCTCTGTACCAGTTGACTTCTGTCTGCTAGTATTCTGTGGAAGAAGCTTTGGGAAAATCATCTAGTTTTTCCCCAGCCATACTGCTGTTGTGATGAAGGCCAGTTGCTCGATCCAAACATTCCTGCCGTTCAAATTATTTTCAAGTGATGTACTTTGAGCAGATTTTGAGGAGTTTCCACATGGGTTTAAGATCTGGGTTTGTTTTGCATGGGGTGTTTTTGTTTGTTTGTTTTTCCCTTGCCAAACTAACTTGCAAGCTGGAATGGAAGTACTATTAAAAATAGATACTGTAGTTCTTTGAAAATGGAGGAGGCAATTTGTTTTATATTGACAATTTCTCTATGCAGAGAAAGAGTTGTCTGAGACCAGAGGAAAATTCCTGAGTATAAATGCTGAAATAGGAGACCTGAAAAAAAAAATTGTTTTGGAGGAAGGGCAACACAAAAAACTGCTTCAGAAACATGAGGAGGTTGTCTCTCAGCTGCAGCAAGAGAAGGTAAATACAGACTATAAATTAGTCTAAAGAAAAACTCTGATCCCAAGGGCTGGCACTAAAGGTTCTGGTTTACGTTATGCGTGAGATGTTGCATTAATAATGGTCTCATCAGTGGAATGTACAAGTGGGGGCTGGCCAGCAGAAGCTGTGTGGTCCAATAGCTCTAAGAATCAGTGCTGGTATGATGGGTATTTTGGTTCTTCCTGTAGATTTGACCTTATTCTTGTGCTCTGAAGTTAAAACACAGCAAATTAGCCTTTACTATCTAGAAAAGTACTCTAAGTTTTGAAATCTGTGGTATTCTGGCACACAGGAGTCATCTGCATCAACACAGCAGAGGTTCCTGGAGTTGCAGGATGAGGCAACAAGGGAGAGACTTCTTCTTGAAGAAGTGCTGAATGATCCCATGAATGAGCTGAATAAATTACATGCAAAGGAGAAGAAAGCTGAAAAGTCGGTGAAGCAATTGGGACAAGAAATCAAATCTCAAGGCCTTGAACTTGCACAGATGGAAGAAAAGTTGAAAGGGTTTGTGAAAAAATTTCTGGTTCTGAAACTTTGAAAGGAAAAATCTTAAATCAGTAGTATAAACAAAGCTGCTGAGCCCAGTTCAGGTTTTAGAGACCTGGGAAGGTCTGGAGTTATTTCTTGCTGGTTGTTGATTATTGATAGTGATTAGATCTCATCACTATGAATAACAACTTGAATCAGTTTGACACTGTTTTAATTTAAAACTATTAGCTTGTTGAGATTTGCTTGAAAGGCTGGTATTGTAGTGCTGTGTCCTTGCTGTGCAGGGTAAACTAAATGCTTGTTGTATTGGGTGTTTGTGCCCTGCCTTGGAGAGGGCAATGACTAGAAGATGTTTTCAAGCCAGTTGTTGCTTCCTTCCATGTATTAGAAATTAACTGTTAGGTGTTTAGTGTATCCTACAACTGTCTTGGAAAATATGGGGAAGGGGAGATGCTTAGTTATATCTGCTGTGAAGATTGTGCTTTACTACATGAGGAGCTACTGATTTGTCACTGCAAGCCTTCTGTAACTGATCAGAGCATTTGGTAATGTGTTCAGACACTTCTCTCCAGTGTGGAATGCTGAATTTTTATTTCAGGAAAAATGCTGAGTTGGAGCAAGTTGATGAAATTCATGGCAGTGCTGTATTGCAAATCCAAGAGCAGCACAGGAATACACTGGAGAAACTTGGAGAGACTGTTGCTGACTTCAAAAGGTATTTAAGTTTCATTAAGATACAGGACAGGGATTATCTCTAAGATGACAATGAAATACACTGTCCATTCACATGCCTTGGTGCTTCACACTGTATACGAGTGTGGCATTAGAGCAGAGGATTTCGATGGAGTATTTGATGGCATTAAGAATTTATTCCTTGAGTACTAGGCAAGTCTAAAGACATACTGGGTATGTAGTTCAGGAAAGTGGATGTTTCTTTTTCCAAAATGTAACCAGTTAGGGTAGTTAAGTGCTCTTGAATCAGAATAAGAGTTGTAACCAGTGATGGTGTTCTCTTTGCAGTGAAATATCTTGCAGAAAGACTTCTTGTTTAGGCTCAAAACTTGCACTGAATTAAAGACTAGTTTCCTATGTTTCTTGCAAATATTTTATCACAAAATATTCAGATTATGGAAGTATGTGAAAAGTGGTACTGTTGTTCCTAGGTATGCATGGCACCCATGAGGGATCCAGTGGGATATTTGCCAATGTGAAGTGCAGACAGTAGGTCTTCTGGTGTTTGAAATAAGCTTCAGATACAGCAGGGTTTTTGTATTTTAAAATGTCTGCAAAAAAAATGAAAATATCTGTATCACAGAATTTGCTGTAGTGTTAGTGCTTATGGCTTTATGGAATTGTGTTGTGGCTTGCTTTTTACCTTTGGATTTCTCAGAACACTGCCATATCTTCAGATTATAAAATCTTTGGTACTTGTCAGCATGAGCTTGTGTTGTTCTTGTCAGGCCTGAATGTGTCAATTTGTATTTTGCCTGAAGTAACCAGATTTTTCTTATTTGCCTTGTAATATCAGCTACAAGAAGACAACAGCTGAAGAAATCTGCTGTCTTAAACTGGACAATCCCTCTCTGCAAGAAGCAGTTGCCAACCTTAAAAAAGTAGGCCAAGAGAATCAGCAATTGCTTCAGGAAGCAGAACACACTAAGAACAAAGCGAAAGAAGAATGTGCAAGGTACTACAGTCAGTCTTCCTTCAGCTAAATAATGCAAACTAAGGCTTGCCTTTCTAACTAGAACTTAATGTGGTGCTCTACCAGGTAAGATCAGCATTTGCTGTAAGCTGGAGATTCTTGCTTTTCCCAGGGCAAAAGGTCGAATCAGTTGTTCTGAGTTTTGCCTACATGTAGAACACAGAGGAAAAGGAAAATACTTGAATGAAATATGCTGGAATATTGCCCCTTTCAGAAATATCAGTTACAGTGACTGCTCCACAGATAAGATCCACAGGGGAGACAAATCCTTAATGCAGAGCTCACTCTTTGCCACTCTACTCTGAATGATGTGTCACCTCAAATTCTGCTCACAAGCAGATGCCAATTAACCATCCACGAATCACCACACTGGTGATGGACACCCAGGTCCTCTCTGCCTAATAACAGTTACCAGAACTAAGAGCCAAGAAGTTGTATTAGGCCACCAACTGAGGACTTGCTTCTCTGGTTATCTAACAGCAGTTTAGTGGTCCGTGTTCTGTTTTCTCGTCTGGTTAAGATGTTGCCCTCCCTTTCCTTCCCAGCTGCTTATTATTGCCTCCAGTTTCCATGAGAGCTGGTAAAAGAAAAACTGAAGAGTTGTTTTCTGTTTGATTTGCTGGTTGAGTGTGGCAGGGAAGGGGTTCTTGGTCCCCACCTGGTTGATGAGACAAACAGCTGAGGCTGAAGAGGGGAGGCAGTGCTTTTAGGTGGAGGGTTTTTGAAATCTTGAGGTGTGTCCACACTGAACAGTTTGATTGGTTTCTGCTTGAGCAAAGCTCTGCATGTAAAGCCTAATAAACTATCTCTGCTAAAAGCTGCTGGCATTGAACAGCCATTGTCTTTCCTTGCTTCAGAAACAGTACTTGCTTCCTCATAGGAGAAGTTAATTATTGTACATCTAAAACTTGATTGCTTTCTGTGGTGTTGTTCTCTCTGAGGCACTGTTTGTGCAAACCTGTATTTCAGTTCTACTGGCAGCTTTTCAGTCATGGTTACTTGTGTTTTCAGATTTAGAGTTGTGTAAACAAACAAACAAAAGAATAAATTTAAGGGCTCATTAAGGACTGCTGTCTTCCTCAGGGTGCTTTTAGAAGTCCAGACCAAGCTCGCACTAAAAGAAGCAGAAACAGAGAGAACAAAAGAGTCTTTCCTGAAGTTTAGTCATTTGTGCAAGGCAAAACTGGAAGAGCAAACTGAAGAACTGAAAAGGGAACTTGAAGCAGAAAGGTCAAGGTAACTTTCTCAAACTAAACTTGCATGTTATGGCACATCCAAGTTATATTGGGAAGAAGTGCTGTGAGTTAACAATGAACATACTGAAACTTCACCTCTTGCTTTGTAGGAAATCCATAAATGAAGATGTGACCTCAAGCTTAAAAAAAGTTTTGTTATATAAATCTTCCTATAGATTACGCCAGGTCTTTATCTCTAAGTCTCTTCAGGTATGTTGGGAAGTAGGTGTGTGTTAGTATCTGTTGACTGAAGACTTTTGCAGTTGGCTCAAGTTCTACTTTTGAGAAGTAAACATGCTACTTCTCCCTGCAAGGCATTTATCCTGCAGTGCTTTCCTAAGTTACTCTGCATTGAGCCAGCTAGTCCCCTTCCCAAACCAATCTTCCTGTGTAGATCTCAGTTCAGTAAAAAGCTATGTTTAGTTAAAAGTTTTCTAAGAGATTCAATTTGTATTTCAGCAGCAACTAAATGCATTGGAAGCAGAGAGGAATGCACTCTTACAGGAGCACGGTGCTGCCCAGGAAGAACTGAATAAACGAAGTGATGCCTATGCTAAACTGCTTGGCCACCAGAAGCAAAAAATCAAGCATGTTATGAAGTTGAAGGAAGAGAAGAACCACCTGAAGCAGGTTAGTAAAATGAAAAATTACAAAGCTGCAAGTTATGAATGTGCTTGATGCCTTTTGTTGCTCTAAATATTTATAGACTAACCCTGCAAGCTCCTTACTTCCTATGGTTCTTAAATTCCCTGCATGAACCAGATTAGAACAAACCACCAGCCTCCAGAAACACCAAGAGAACCTGTTTTATTTTTGACTGAGTGTATGACATACAGTGGGATCAGCAGTGCAAATAACTACTCCTATTCTTAGTTTAGTTGGCTTTTCTTACCTCCTCTGGAGGTTCTAAACTTAGTAAACTAGCTGCTGAAAGCAGCAGCTGAAAGTTTCAGACTAATGTAGTGCTTAGTGGTGTTGCACAGCAACTCTACAGTGCTGCTGGTTTCTCTGCACCTCTGTGTTTGGGTTGGGGTTTTAATTACACCAGTAATTGTGTGTCTGTTTATCTTTAGGCAAAATGTCTCTAAGGAAATCATGAAGCAGGCTCTTCTCCTGTTCTTAATCTAACTCCCAAGTATGATGTTTTCTGTAGGATGTCTCCAGACTGCGTGTGCTGCTATCCAAAGAAAAGCAAACCAACAGAGACCTCCAGGAGCAACTGTGTGCAGTCCAGGGCATCAAGCATCATATTAATGCAAATATCCAGAGCCTTACCTGCTCCATTCCCAGCAGCATTTCAGGCATTGCCTCAAACTCCAGAGGGAATCACCAGCCTAGAAAATTATTGCAGTTCACCTCTGCTCTTGCCCCTTTGTGTGCTGTGCCTGCACAGAGCACATGCACTGGAAGCAGCAATGGCTCTGCTGACCTTTGAAACCCAAACACTAATCCAAGCCCTACATCATGTGTGGCTCAGAATCCTGTTAAGGTTTTGGTCTGGTCCCAGTGGTACCATTTAAGCAGCTCAGTGTGAGCCTAAACTTTTACTTAATAAGAGGCAGCAGGAGCAGGCACGGCCATTGTGTGTATAAAATTCATTCAAAGCACTGGCACTGAGTCTTACACAATTTTCCTTTTCTAGGAAACAGGAGGAGGGCTCTAATTAGGTCAGGCAGGTTGAGGATTCTAACAGCTCATTTTACATTTCAACCAAGCACAGCCCAGCTCTTGCTACAATACAGCGTGATGTCACTGCACAGGCCACAGTTCCTTCGTTTCAGTTTCCTGTGGCACTGGTTAGTGTCCTTCATTTTCCTAAGGCAGCAGATTTAAGTGTGGCAGTCAGGATTTTTGTTCTTGCTTTGTGGAAATTCCAACCCTGAGCCCGAGCCTTCGGGGGATCTCCCTGTAGATCTCCACTCCTCTTGGGTTAGAACATTGAAGGCAGCTTTCAGTTCAGTCTTACCAAAGCTCTTTTGCTCTGTCTCAGCTCACCAGCATGATAGAAGCAGCAGCAGCAGCAGAGGGCACAGGCACTTCCCCCACATTCCCTTCTGGCTCAGCTCTCAGGACGACTCTGGGTTTTTCAGCTCCTTTCTCTCTCTCTCTGAAGCTGCTGCTGCATTTCGGGACTCTCTAAAGGTTTGGAAGTCCATCTCTCCTCTTCAGGAAGTCTCTGGGTTTTGGGAAAGTAATACAGTCTTACCCCAAACCAGCTCTGTTGAGTTTTCCTCTGTTTTGTTGCCAGTTCTCCCTCCTGCAGGAACATCTCTGTGTCTCTCAGCCGGCTTCATGTTATCTTGTTGCTCCTGGCTGTCCCTTTGGCTTTCAGCCATCGCTGTCTCTGTTCAGGGCTGCTCCGCTGCTGCTTTCAATGTCTTCTGCTGCTGCTGACAGTAAGGAAACTCTTCCAGCTCCTGATTACGGGACCCGCTCCAGCTTTGACACTACACCAGGTCTCCCGTAGCCTCAGCTGGGGGCTGGGGGCCCTTGGCCCCCAGAGGGGCTCACTGGCCCCCTGCTTCCTCCTGGCTCAGATCATGGCTCCCTACCTTCTACACTATCTTCAGCCCCTTCTCTTCCCTTTCTGTAGGGATGGAATTTCCATAAGGGCACACGTGAACCTTTGGTCCAGTATTATCAGTGGGGCAAACCATTGCTACCCCAAAGAAAAGGTTTTTCAAACTCAGATATTTGAAAAACTAACAGGGGTTATTTTTTGTTTTCTTTTTCAGAGAGGTTTGTTCAGCTCAACATCAAC